CTGGTGAATATAATAGAATCAGGGGCATAGAAAGGGAGTGGACTGATTATTCTCGGGGGGAAAGGGGTGTGGGGGGTGCGGGAATAGAATGGACAAAAATCGTGCACCTATGGAAGAGGACAGTGGTGGGGGAGTAAGGGCAGAGGGTGGGGTGGGAACCGGGTGGAGGGGAGGTATGGGGGTAAAAAAGAGGAACAACTGTAATAATCTGAACAATAAAGATTTAATAAAAAAAAGAAAAAAGAGAGAGGAGGGAAAAAAAAGCAGCATATATTTGGAAGTGGCAGTTGTGATGAGCTGTGGAAGAGGAGATGTTGCAAACCAGAAAGAGAGGAGGGAACAGCATTCTAAGCAGAAGGAACAGCATTCGCGGATGCCCTGTGTTGGGAGAGCCTGGCCAGGAGGACGGAAGGGCCCGTGTGGCTGGCGTGGGCACCTGGGATGTGTTGGGGGCAGGAGGCCAGGCCCTGACCTAGGCCGGACGAGTGGCAGGCCTGAGAGCCAGGACATGTACCCGGGTGGGAGTGTGGCATCGTCATCCCGCTGGATTGGGACGGGAACTTGACCAGCCCTGGGCCGGGTGCCCGAGGCTGGGCAGGAGGTGGGCTGGGAGCCAGCACACAGTGCAGGCTTTGGGCTGGCTGCGGGTGGCGTGGGCACGGGAGGTGGGCCGGCTCGAGTGAGCGCCAAGGCTTGCAGTCTGGCGGCTCCCACAATAAAAAGTGGGTACAACATTGCTTCTCATTTTATTCTTTGAGTAATTAGTAATTAATTCTAGCGTAAGCTCCAAACTCAGGGGTCCTCAGCGAAATGGAAGTTTAAAGAACAGCGGTCCGTCGCCATGGAGACTGAGATCCACTGGGGAGCCAGGCCGGGGCCCGGGGCCTGGTGACCGGATCCCTCGTGACCAGCCCGGCGGGCAAGGCCGTCTCCGCAGCCCCGTGCAGCCTGTGGCGCTGTGGACACCGAGCGCAGGTCAGCGGGTGAGTGCTGGGCCGCCTGGACGGTGTCCTGCTCGCAGCCCGGCCCAGCGTGCCCACCCCGTCCCTCGGTGGCCACGAAGGCGAGGATGGGCCAAGGTCTGGGTGCCGTGCCTGCCAGGGCGGCCTGGCAGGAAGCTCAGAGGGGAGGGTGAGCCCCGGACGCTGTGAGCCCTACCCCGTGGGTCCCTGTTCCCTCCACAGTCAGCATGGGGTCCGCCCCTCCCTTCTGGGTGCACCTGGCTCCCAAGGTGCTAGCTATGGCCTGGGACGGGTTCTGGGACCCTGGGGGTCTGGGGAGGCTCGGACATCCCTGGGGGGACAGCGTCTGCAGTGACAACCCCGTGCCCACTCCGGGGAAGGCCCTGCTCCGTGCCCAGTGACCAGTGTGTCTTCACAGGAAATGGCTGCTCCTCGGGACCTGGTGGGGCGACCCCCGCTGCCCGCCCGCCAGGATCAGCACACAGTGTGGGGACACTGGGAATGGGTGGGACGGACAGGTGTCAGGTCACCAAATCCCTGAGTGTGGGGACAGCGAGTGCAAACTCCTGATACCCAGTCAGCCGGGTGGGGCTGTCCGGGGGGCGGCACAGACCGCCGGCTGCTGCCCCGCCTGCCCTCCCCCAGCCCTGTGCCGGGGGTGCCTCACCTGCAGTGTCCAGGCTCCAGCTGGCGTTGAGCAGCCTGCCCGAGGCCGTGTGCCTGACCTCGCACGTGTAGGTGGCCGGCGGGGGGCTGTGGGTGGCCGGGACCCGCAGGACACTCCAGGTGCGGAACTTGCTGTTTCCAGGCTCGGCTGTGGGCGCCGCGGTGGCAAACCAAGAGGAGTCCACCTGGCGCGAGCCCTCCTGCCAGGTGAGGAGCAGCTCTGGGGGCGAGAAGCCTGACACCTCGCACAGGAGCCAGGAGGCCACCCCAGCAGAGGCGTGAGTGCCCGGCGTTTTCTGCTTGCTTGATCTATCAACTATTGACAAAAAGTAGGATATAGTTTTGACCTTTGAAACAAAGTCACCCCTCCCCCATCATGGTTGGTCCAATTTCTTT